GATCCAACTCCACCCCCCCTCCTGATCCAACTCCACCCCCCCCTCCTGATCCAACTCCACCCCCCCTGATCTCCTCCACCCCCACTCCTGATCCAACTCCCCCCCCCTCCTGATCCAACTCCACCCCCCTCCTGATCCAACTCCACCCCCCCTCCTGATCCAACTCCACCCCCCCTCCTGATCCAAACTCCACCCCCCCCCCCTGATCCAACTCCACCCCCCCTCCTGATCCCCCCCTCCTGATCCAACTCCACCCCCCTCCTGATCCAACTCCACCCCCCCTCCTGATCCAACTCCACCCCCCTCCTGATCCAACTCCCCCCCCCTCCTGATCCAACTCCACCCCCCCCTCCTGATCCAACTCCACCCCCCCCTCCTGATCCAACTCCACCCCCCCCCTCCTGATCCAACTCCACCCCCCCTCCTGATCCAACTCCCACCCCCCCCCCTGATCCAACTCCACCCCCCTCCTGATCCAACTCCACCACCCCTCCTGATCCAACTCCCCCCCTCCTGATCCAACTCCACTCCCCCCCCCTCCTGATCCAACTCCACCCCCCTCCTGATCCAACTCCACCCCCCCTCCTGATCCAACTCCACCCCCCCCTCCTGATCCAACTCCACCCCCCCCCCCTCCTGATCCAACTCCACCCCCCTCCTGATCCAACTCCACCCCCCCTCCTGATCCAACTCCACCCCCCCCCTCCTGATCCAACTCCACCCCCCCCCCTCCCAACTGTGGGAAGGACCGCTGGACTCCAAACTAATTTCATTTGATTACCTTGTTTCCATCCATGTTGTTCCCGCCTGTAATGACCGCTGACACTAACTGGCCTGCACTGACCTTTCTCAGATCCCCCCCCCCCCCTGTCCCCTCCCTTACCTGACCGTCACTGACCTGCCGAGACCTCCTTCCATCCTCACTGAATTGCCCCTGACCTCAGACCCTCATTGACCTGTCTTGGCCTCCGACTCACACTGAGCTGCCTTGATCTCCGACCTTCACTGACCTACCCTGAATGACCCTCCACTGACCTACCCCTGACCTTGTATGACCCCCCCCACTGGTATCCAACCCTTACTAACCTGCCCTGACCTTATCCGACCCTCACTATACCTGCTCCCTCTCCCTTTTCTGGCGCCCGTGTGTGTCCCTCTTTCTTGCCAAGCCCCCAAACCTCTCCTTTCATCCGCGTCTTACTAGACTTTTTTCCTTTTGATCTCCACCTACTCTTATGTGTGTGTCGTTTCCCTTTCCCCTCCTCTCCCCTCCCTACATCTCTCTCCTCCTCCCTATCTCTTCTCTCCCATCCCCCATCTCCGTCTCTTTCCCCTCCTACCTCTCCCTCGTTACCAGCCTACTCCCTCCTCCTTGATAGTCGGATTTACAGAAAATGAGAAACTCGTGTGGGCTCAGATCGGGGAGCTGAGGAGAATAGCCAAGTGGAGGTTCCAGCTCTTCTGCCAGGACGTTCCAGGGGCGATTTCCTGCTCGACGCCAGAATCGTAATCAATGAATACGAAAGTAGTCACCGTGGAAGCTGGCTTTAAGGGCGATTACGGCTCGTTTTCCAGCGCCCTGCCGAGGTTCCGCGCCATTTGGCAAACACCTTTACGCGGGAAGCCAGAAAGGGCGGGAAAACACAGCACCTTGGCTGGTGAGGAGAGCCATCTAGCGGACGTTGGGCTTATGAGTCAAAAGAGTCGAAAATTGGCTAACGGTCTGATAACAAAATGCGATTATCTTCATTCATGTCTGGAGTGGATCCTAACTTGATGTTCTGGGAGTTTGTGGAGAGGAGGGTGCGTTTCCTGGTGGGGGGGAGGGGGGGGGGGGGGAGGGGTGTTGAGGTGGGGGGAGGGGGGGCGCTGGGTGGGGGGGGGCTCTCGACATGTGTGTGTTTGTTTGTTCTCTGTGTTTTCAGCCAGGATTATTCTCACCTGGTCCTTCTCTCTCTCTCCCCTTCCCCCCCTCTCACCCTCTTTCACTTATCCTTTCCTATGTTTTTTCCCCCCTTTTATCCACCGAATACTCCATCTTCCATCCCTCCCTACATCCTTTCCTCACGTTTGCTCCATCTCACTTGCTCCTTCCCCGGGTTCTCCGTCGTGTTTCCCTCCCTCCCTCCCTCCCTCCCTCTCGCCCCTTCACACAAGTCCATCTTTTGCCGGTAGGTAAGCCCAAGCGGCTCCCTGTCCGTCATGTGTTGGCCCCAAGGGTGATTTATGGGTCTCCCAACACCTTTATCTACCCCCTTCTCTCCCTCTCTCTCTTCCTCTCCCTCCCTCTCTCTCTTCCTCTCCCTCCCTCTCTCTCTCTCCCTCCCTTTCCTCTCCCTCCCTCTCCCTGCAAGACGGAAGGAAGGACAATATATGAAAGGGAGCAGAGGGTCTATAAGGGTTAGAGAGAAATGGAAATGGGAAGAAAATTGAGAATAGGGTAACTAGGAAATGGGTAGCGAGATGACTTCCAGAGTAGAGTGAGAAGCCTAGAGAAAGGGGAGAGGAGGGGTAAAGGGGGAGGAGGAGAGAGAGGGGGTTGAAGGAGGGGGGAAGGAGGGACCTATTCACCCCCCACAGATCCCTCTCTCATTAATGGGCTCAGATTTTTAACGCCATTTTATCGCGTTCATTTATCAGTAAGCTCTTCCCCCCCCCCCCCACCCCTGAGGGGAAAGGGTGGGGAGGCAGAGGAGGGGTAGAAGAGAGGGCAGACAGGAAAAGAGGAATGAAAGGAGGAAGATAGGGGAAATATAAATTGAAGGAGAAGGCAAGATAGGAGTGAAAAGAACACAGGGAAATAAATGATGGAACAAAGAAGATAGGCGAAGAAACGGGGGAAAAAAATAGTGAGAAGAAAGGTATAGATGGAGGAGACGAGAGACAAGGAGAGAGAGAGGTGGAGAGAGAAACGAATAAAAATTAGTTTGAGGCAGAGAGATGGGGGAGAGAAGGAGAGAGAGAGATAGCGTAATAGCAAACATGTTCGCCATGACTTCCTCAGCCCAGCTCCTGTGCCAGGTAAGTCCACTACGGGCTCACCATAGCCCGTGCTACTTGGAGCTTTTGTTCCGAGTAGCTGAATCTAAAACA